TGGGAGTTCTACCGATTATACATATATATATTATTTTATTTGGATTCCAAATAAAATGTATAATATCAATGTATTTTTGTTTTTGTTTCTTTTAAGGGGTTGCTGGTGCCGCCTGTATTACCGATAAAACTAGCGTTTTTAACGTTTTTGTTTCTATCGGATTTCTTCGTAATGATTTCACAGAATAAAGATTTCTTTTCCACGATTAAAATGTACACGCTAATATATTTGTTGCTGGTGTATTTTGTGTTCGAAGCTGAAAAAAAAATTACAGATCGATTCAATAATTTTCACACTAATTTCATATTAACAGTAAGAAGCTGAAATCATAACACAATACTAATATAACATAAAGACATCCCTTATGGAAAAAGACACTGAAAATTAAAAAAAAACACTGAAAATTGAGTGTTAACACCTAATTTTCAGTGTTTTTTTCGAAATTTTCAGTGTCTTTTTCCATAAGGGATGTAATAGAGTAATTGCGGTAAAATTACCCTTACTTCTTCTATTTTTTCTGACTTCTGCGGCGTATTTGCCGGAGTTACCCTATATATAAAGAATAGCATCTCAAATTGATTGTGTTTAAAAAGCCCGAACGTTTCGGCGCACAGTCACATCTGAGACAAATTAAATTCATAAACCAAAAACATTATATTATTCGAAACATCTAACTTTGGCGATCTTTGGCACTTTTTACCATATTTAAATTATATATGATACAAAATAAAATTTCGTTGAAATAATATTTAAATGTCCGTAGTAGTTTAAGAGAAAATATTGCTTTAATATTGAATTCCAATGAAATCAGATTTAGATTTGAATTGATCGAACGACCTTGACGTGTACGTCAGTCATCTTGAGATCGATCGATGTAGGAAAAGGATTGTAGGCAGTAGCATTGTAGGATGCAACAGGAAACCGAAATTGATATTCGGTCTTTTCATTCGTCTTGTCACTTTACAGGGATTCGAGTCTTAGGAGAGGCAAGAATGGAAACAGCATTGAGCATGGGTCCTTTCGAGTTCTTCATTCATCGTCTCACTGAATCCGTACCACCTGGCCCTCCACCTGTGCCTAACCAACTGTTTCTTTGCCAGTACAACCACAGCAAGTCCGGTTTCAATCTCAAATCTCTTTCAGCATTTTATCTCACTAGGTAAGATAGCGAATAAGGTAATATCAATGCACATTTAAAAGCACATGCTGTCCATCCATTCTCCCATATACAAACAATCGAAGTATGTGAGATGATCTCTTTCAACGAGGAAACGTTGAAGTCATCTTTTAGATTTACGTGTATAAATATTCCATACTATATAATTATCTGACAATTATCTTTTTTAAGCAAAAAATTAGAATGTTTGATATAATAATTTCTCAATTTTTGACAAAAAATTCCACAAGTTTGTGACAGACCTTTTCTCATGAATTACAGGAAGATATATCTAAAATTTTTAATTGTAACGTTAATGCACGCGTACGTTAATCAAGTAATAATTAAAGCTATATATATTGCTCCCTTTTTTGCACGTACTTCATAGTGTTAATACGATTTCATGGAAATTAAATGAACATAATAACCCTTTTATCCCTTTGTCGAACAATATCCATTATTACAATATTGCATCATGATTTTATGTTATGCAAGCTTTGAACTTTTCTGTGATCATTTTTAAGATAAGAGAATACAAAGTAAAAAATAAAATTTTTTTACTTGCAATTCTTAAAGACTTATATCGATAATTTTATATTTTATTATTAAAAAATTCTCAAGTACTTTATAATTAAACATTAAGAACATAGAGAATGTGAATATTATAAAAAGTGTTGTTATATTTAAAAAAATAGAAAAATAAATCTTTAGCTCCTAGCTCTTATATGTGCTATATATTCGTATATTTAAAAAAAAATTATCGTAAAGAATAAAATTATAAGTGGTTCCGGCCGGGATCGAACTGGCGACCTTCTGCGTGTAAAGCAGACGTGATAACCGCTACACCACGGAACCTCTACAGCTTTCGGTGCTCGTTATATTCATGATTATTTACCACAATTCTTAATAGATAATTATTATTCTTAAATAATTATATTACTCAATATAAACTTGATTAATTAAATAAAATATAACTATTTTTGTAAATGTTAAGCGACAAAGTCATTTCTAAGACATTAATTTACAATTTTACATGTTACTTGTAACTCGATCGATAAATCATGTGGCTTTCTCTCGCGTCGTATAGATGGCAACTGCGATCTATAAGTACGTATCGTCAAATGTGAATTAAATTTATACGAGAGAGTTCGATACACATTTTCCTTTTTTTAATTTTATAAGTTCAAACCATATATCTTATTTATGATAATAAAAATGTAATAAGAAGACTAAAGGAAGACATCTTTAATAGATATCTTTCATTTATTTAATTTTTATTTTAATATAAACTGTCACGGAGTGCGTTTTTACTGCTTTTTCCATCATTTAAGTTAGCAGAATAAAAATTTTTGATCAGATTTTGATCAGGTTTTGTCATCTTATAAATTACAGGATATTTTCTTACATATTAAAATTTTACTTAGCCATAAACTGAATTAAAGCATTTTCACAAAAATTTACTTTTACGTAATATTTATTTTTATAACAATTTTAATATTTTTTGAATCTTTCTTTCATTACTACATTTTATAAAAAAAAATGCAATAAATTAGCAGCTAAGTGTTTATACTTATACATAATCAAAGCTGTATCTTTTACAAAATTATTTTTCAATGAAATTAAATGTGTATTATCATTGCAAATGTGTGTATAAACGGTTCAGGGTGTTTAGCAAGACACGTATTTAGAATAGCGAACATATAATTTTTTTTCTAGAGTGGAAACATGAAAAGTGAACATTTTTATTATCTTCAATGAGATAAAATTTTCAGTTTTTACGTTTTCTTCTTAAGAAGAAAGTTTTATGATTGCTATTCAACACAAAAACAGTTTAATAAGCGTTTTGCGCTGATTGAATTACACTTTTATCGATTTGTATTGTAATAGAGAACTATTTCTCATAGATCTAAAAATATAATCCAATTAGCGCAAAGTACTTATTAAACTATTATACTTTTTCTACTAAACGCAACCACTTGTAACGCAGTGAATTATTTCTTATTTAACATTGACAAACAACAAGAATAAAATAATTACTGTATTACACTATATCTGTATATTATTTTCGCAAGAATTTTGATTTTATTGATAATACGAAAATGTGTTAAACACATCTAATACAATGAATATGTAACCATAAGTGTATTATATACGCATAAATTATTATTACATAAAATCTATATTTACTACAGCCTACAATCACACATACAACATACATAAATGTTCCTTAAAGTGAGATAAACCGCTTATATGGTATGAAAAAAGTACTTTAATACAAGAGTCCTCGGTAGTATAGTGGTTAGTATCCCCGCCTGTCACGCGGGAGACCGGGGTTCGATTCCCCGCCGGGGAGTTTTTTTTAAATATTTTTTTATGTCATTGTTATGTAACAATTATGTTAATTTTTATGTTCATCTATATAGTAGTTTAATATTTAATAACATAACTTTAATAAATTATTTTAGAAAAAATTATATTAGCATTAAAATATCTAACCAAGATAATACTTGTATCTAATATTAAAAACTTAGACGTTTTGTACATAACGTTTAGAAAAGTTTGTCGCTAAGAAGAGCGATTCTAAATTTAAAGAACAATTTATCATTAAAGGAAATTTAATGCAATTAGTACACTTTATGAATATTTTCAATATTCTAATTTAAATTAGAATACTTTTAGTTTCTTCATTATATATGTATAACATAAAGGCCCAGTTTCTTATTATATGTATGCCTAGTGAACTTGAAATTTAGATTCAACTCACTTTTGATGATGATGTAAAAATTGTGTTTTTCTAGCTATGATTAATAATTATGATTAATAGCTATGATTAATTAAACTAGTAGTTTTGTATAGTGGTAACTTTAAAAGTTACTCACTATAAAATCATCATTTTATGCTATAACAATGCAATATATATATATATAGCTAGAATAATACAATTTTTACATATTATTATTAAATTAAGCCTCATGATAAGTTAATTGAAAAATAAAAAATCAGTTTAAGAAATTAACATTCTGTTAACAACGGAACCGTTAAAGGTAAATATAATTAAATATAAATACATGATGTTAGATTAGATAATTTAGTTTCGCAGAAGATTGCCAAATCATGTGTTACTTATACAAAATATGCACATTATACGTATAATAGGTAAATTAAAAAATATGCCGAATTGATCAATATCTGTATAGCTATTATTGTACATATAGGAAGATGACAATTTACAGCTGGCGATGTGTTGAAGATGAAAGATAAGATAAATATTTGTTGTAGGAATAGATACAACTATATAGCACATAAAAACATACAACCTACATTTTCATTAGACACACATTTATACAAGCACACATTTATGTATAACCACACAAATAAATCAATCCTTTAATAGGAATGAAATATCATATATCATAATACACATGTAATAATATAATAGGTAATATTAACTGTACGTGTATATTACGTTAAAAATATCGTCACAACACACACACCGATTATATTCATAATTATTTTGTTTCTTGGTTACGGTAGGATATTTTCTATATATAATTATGAACTAACTTTCTGTGTGAGGAACACGATTTCTTAAAAAATCTCATTTTGATACACATTGAAAAAAAGGAAGTATTAATATTTTTTAATAATATTATTTTAATAATATTAATCATATATTTTTTTATATTGAAAATGTTTCTAGCTTCCTTCGCAACTACATAAGCAATTAATTACATAATATAAAAGCAAAAGTATATATAATTATAAAATATGCATAATAAATGCAGATATTGAGTAATTATTGAAACTTGATTAAGACTGTTATTTTACTGATTTGAGACGAGCGTAAAAAATATTGCTGAAAATCAGTATGCGATATTAATAAATGAAATGAATAATTAGTTAATGAGATGTGCTTCTTATCCGTCGATGTTGATAAATCTCTTAAACGGTCGAATATAAATCTTTTAGCTTTGTTACTTTTAAGCCGCTAAAAATATTCGTATTTTTATCTCAATGAAACAGCGAATTTTACAGCTTACAATTAGTCTGACGCAACATAAATTATTTAATGGATTTCGTTTCATTTATTGCTTTCTTTTTTTATAGCCGCTGCGAGGCAACAAGCAAGAACAATACCGGCAATCTAAAAAAGAAAAAAATGTGTTTTTTTAATTCAAAATATTGCTATTATAATATTTGATGAACAAATTTAAATACAATTTACATTTTTGTTACAACAAAAAGTTATATGATTCTTAAATTGAAAAACTTTCTTTACATCTATTACTCCTCTTTTACTTAATACCCGTTTAATTTTATTGCAATAAAGTAAAGTGTCAACATAGTGTTGGCTTGATTAAAATATGATAGATATAAACTAAAACTTTACTCGCCTCCACAAAAGCTATTCCAATGCCCACACCAATTAAGACTGTCGCGCTATTTTGAACTCGCATTTCCAACTTGTTAAAGCATCCTTCTTTATTTGCTGTCACGACTTGACAGATCGTCATTGTCTCATCGCAACATGATGGCGGGATGACCCCTACTAGATTTACATTATCAATCCAATCTCTAGCACCATCCACACCGCAACATTGCAACTGTCGTATAAACAGATAAAATAATTATCGATGTATAATCGGACTTTATTAATTAATTTAAAAAGTTGAAACAATTTAATGCTAATTATTTTAAATAATTCATAAATAATTATTTTTTATTTATTATTTTGGCTCAGCGCCAATACTGATTAAAGGTAGAGTGGATCGAATCGAAACGGATTACAAGGCGAATCAGTATAAATTTTGAGAATTAGTCGAAATCTGTCGTTAATTTTTTTTTTTTTTTCAAACGAGTTGTTTCACCTTGCAAGTTAATTTCCGCATCTTCTGCACCAGAAAATAAACAATTTTATAGTTCGTATAATTCAATATCAGTTAATGATATAAGCGCAGAGATCCTGAGTGCACGAAGAATTTTTTTCTTACACAAATCACGATTCCAAAAAATTTATGTTATAAAAAAGTTTTATAACTTTGTAACGAAAAGGTATGTTGAAAATTATAATAATTTTTATAGTGTATAGTTTGCTAAATTAGTTTAGTAAACTGATGATTCGCTTTGTTCTTCAATTTCGGGATAAATTGGATAATTCACTCTTCTTGATTTTTTAATTGAGCAATAAGAAATATTTTGTTTGTGTAATATTTTATTATATGAAATCTAAGCCAAAGTTGGAAAAATTAAAAATTTTAATAAAACTTATTTTTATTGAAATATTAATAAAACTAGTTTTTTATCACGAATGAAGAATGATCCGATTTGCCTCGATCTACTCTATTTAATTACGCGATTTAATTTATATAATATATTTTGTTACAAAACTATTGTTGTCCAAGTAGGACAAAGTAATTTAAGGTATTAAAAGATATAAGTGTGTTAATACAAAGATAGTTAGAATAGTCAATGTACCTACAATACTAAAACGGTTTTAATTGCCTATTTGCACACGATGATTATTCCAAGTGACCTAGCCCATCATTATAAAAACCATTGTTTTCTTTATGGCACGGAAGCTATACTATTTCATCATCTTTTGTATCGACAAATCCATTACTATGTTGTGCTCCAGATTCAGTTTACTGACCTTTTTCTGCACGTTATCCCAGGCTTGCTTGTCAGTCTCCGTATAGTTTTTCATCGATTCCTTTAGGGTATTCCTCATCGCCATGCTAAAATCGTTTTTAAACACTGCCGCCGCTATGCCCACCGCGAGCTCAATTACGAAGATTATTAACAATGCGACCGCAAACTAAATTGTTTTTAATATTAACATAATTAATCAAAGATTATATACAACTATAATTTAGAGTTATTTATTGTTTTCCATCACAAAAAAATTATATTTAAAAACAAAATGAAATTAAAACATTTGAACGAATTTAGCTTGCCTACGATGCATTTTTTGTTTCCTTAAACTATAACTTTTAATTTAAATTTATAACGCTGTAACTTTTTTATTTTTTTAACTAAAACTTTTAATATAACTTATAACACTATAACTTTTTTATTCTTGTGTATTTCGAATTGTTACTTTAGGAAAATAATCTTAAGATTTTATATTATAAGAAAATATAAAAATTAGAAAATAGATTTTTTTGATCCACTTAGGTGTATGTAACCCCTTAACACACAATTTTTTTACTCTGAGTTTTTAATTTTTTTGTTTTTTTTTAACTTACCGCGATCAACATGTTGTAATGTTCCTTTATCGCTCCGTAACATCCAAGAAAAGCTATAGCGAAAACGATACATCCCGCTACTATAAGCACTATAGGTGGTGCCATTATTCTACTTTCCATGAAATGATCGAATTCGCCGACATCTACTAATACCCACGCGCCAGCCACAATAATACCTATACCAGATATCTGAAAAAAATTGATTTTAATTTTGTATACGTATTTTTTTCGTCCTCGCGAAATTTTTGATGAGAAAATATTAAAAAATTGCAATCAAAGATCATATTTTGACGAAATTGTGCTACTTTTAATGTGATTTTCTACATGTTCCCATCAAATCAGTTTGAAATAAACGTTTGCAAATGGATTCAGCGCATCAAAAAAATACAAGAAAATATATATAAGAAAGATTCCATCGTTTAGATCAAAATTTTACCCATCTTTTGAGTCAAATTTAATATATTTCTTGAGTTACAAATCTTTTTTTTTAATTTACTTTTTTATTCAACATTGAAGCAAAAATCATCATTTTTGCCAATAACTCGTTGAGAAAAATTCGTACAACATTCAATAAAAAAGTAAATTGAAATTAAAGATTCACTTTTTCAACTGCTGTACACCGCATTTTTGTGTGATTTTTACTTTACGCCAGAGACTTTCGTAAAATTTGTATGAAATTTTCAGATTTGACGGGTATCCATTTGTGTCTGTACAAGCTCCGTAAAAGAGTCAGATTGAAATATCAATCCGATTTTAAAAGTAGAGATTTCAAGCTTTCAAATGCTTTTTTGATTTTTTGTCTGCGATGATTTTTCACTGAGTTACAGTGTTCTGAATGTTGCGTAACTTTGAGCGTGTTCGAAAGTGTTTCCTATTTTTTGTTGAGTAGTATATTAGAAACAGGGAATGAAAAGTTTCTTTTTAAAAGTAACAAGTTACTGCTATCAATTACCAATTTTTAAAAATAACTCGTTACAGTTACCATTACTTGAGAAAGTAACTTTTCGTTATTTTTCCGTTACTTTTTTTAAATCGACGACCAACAACCAATCACAGTGGACGGATGTCTAGGGGCTTTTAAGTCTTAAGCGTTATGAGTGGCTTTTTTTAAGTAACTCGTTACAGTTACCATTACTTGAGAAAGTAACTTTTCGTCATTTTTTCGTACTTTTTTAAATCGACGACCAACAACCAATCACAGCGGACGGATGCCTAGGGGCTTTTAAGTCTTAAGCGTTATGAGTGGTTGTGTCCAATTGAACCGTGTCCAATCATGTGCAAAGTAACGATAAAAGTAACTATAAAATCATTATCGTTATCGTTACCAAAAAATAACTTCGTTATCGTTACAGTTACCAAAAAAAAAGTAACACATTTACCAAAGTAAAGTTATCAAAAAAAGTAACTTGTAATTGTAACTTTGTTACAAGTAACGAGTTACTTCCATTCCTTGATTAGAAATAAAACAAATTGGGTATAATTGGAAATTATGTATTTAAGTATAAAAGGAAAGTATATTGTTTTAGCCTACATTACACACACACACACACGCGCGCGCGCGCGCATACTTACATAAGTATGATTTATCATTTCTTTTTATTAATCAAATGTTTATTTATTGTAAATAAATCTTTAATTGGCATATACTCACACATAAATATTTATTGAAATTTATATTATGTTTTCTCAGTATATAAATAAAATTTTCGAAAATATTAAACTACAATTATGTACAAAAAAAGCATATCACAAATAACCGAATTCTTTTGCGCACTACATAAATACCTGAAAATATTTCAAGCAGAAAAATTATTAAAAACCGGGTATATCCGTAAATTTCAGAAAATAAGAATATAAAAATCAAAAAAGGATATTTCCTATACCTGATTCACTTCAAAAATTTGTCACCAAGATCAATCCTAACAAAACTGTTATTCCTCCAACTGTTATTCTTTCAACTCGTTCTACTTACCGCAAAGATTAAGTTGAAGATAAAGAGAATGTATTTGATAACATTCATCCCGCACGATTCCATGATATTTTTTCGTATTTGTCTGTCGTTAAAATTAATTAAACTTTATCTTGATTTTATTATTATTCCGAATCAATAATTCGTGGAACTTAAAAATTCAGACATATAGTCGATCGGCTTGCGTTCCGTGCGGCAGCCATACGGTCAATGAGAGCGATCTAGGTGGTGCTCCTTTGTCCGAGCCTACAGGGAAGGTTTCGATCGAAATCCTCGGCTTCGAGGCTACCGAAGGCGGGAGCACGGTTTCCAAGTCGAAGTCCTGCGTTACAAATTCGTTATTGGTCTGTAGTTCTAGGCGAAGGTGATTGTCGATGGTCACCATGGTCACTTATTCCCTCGCCATTGACACCCCCCCAAAGTAAACCTCTAGAGAGTGCTAAAAAACACAAAAGATACAATCAGTATTTATGAATGTATTATCTTGTAGAAAAACATAGTTAACTTTTACAGTGAAACAATATCCTCCGGTTTGAGTTTGTGGTTCTACTCTCTGCTTTAAGAGAGAGAGAGAGAGAGAGAAGGTAACGAAGTCACATTTTTTTCGGTCGAAATCGACATTTTTGGATTAATTTTACAGAAACCATATGATTTTCAATAATCATGACAAATTTATGTACACTGAAAAAAATTTCCGGGCTTTATCCATTCAAAAAGTAACAAATAGATATTTCCGATTGATTTTGATCGGATTTATATAAGATTATCCGATCAAATTTATCGGATAGTCCTATAAATCCGATAAATTTTATCGGATAGTCTTATAAATCCGATCAAAATCAATCGGAAACATCTGTTTGTTACTTTTTGAACGGACATTTTTCTAAGTGTACTCTTTAAAAAACAAGATTTTATTAAAATATCTAACTATAATAATATAATAATATTTCATCCTCGACTTTTAAAGAAATCAAATTACAGTTATCACTAAGATCACATCAAAGTTTGTATTCAAATTGCCTTAAGCTTAATCAACGAGTAAATAATTAAAATCGAACAATTTTTTTAACCCTCACCGACGCGTTGCAACTTGTATAGTTTCATTTATCCGCCAAAATTTTCTTTTAATTTCGACCGAAATCAAACCGAAACCTTAATTTTTTACTGAGACTGATCGAAACCGAAACCGAAACCGAAATTTCGATCGGACTTTACTTAAAAGAGCAACAATTTATAATTGTGTCCTTAACTTGGATTTAGGATGTATTGTAATAATTATTACATCCCACTTAAGTGGGATGCAGAGTTAAAATTTAAGACCGTCCGTCTTAATTTAGGACGGATAGTCACTAAGATCTACGTAGTACGTTTCTTCAGTACCTATTAACTTTACTTCATGATACTGTGACCTGCTCTTGTGAGTCAGAAATCCATCAGGGAAAGAGAAGAGAACTATCAACTTCTAGAAAAATTTATTCCTCACATGCAGTTAGGATTCGCGTAAATCCGCAGTTTCGTGCCGTACTATGGAAACGTATCTATCTATATAGGTTAATGAGAACATGGTAAATATAGATATTACGCTCATTCCTCAGGTAGCTGCACGTAATGGTACATGCCTAATGATAATACGTTATAATTTAAAGTTCAACACTGCATGGCTAAAATCTCCTTTTCCAACTTTTCTGCTCATCGTGTATTCCATGTAAAAAAATATTTTCGATATTTACGCGTTATTTATTATATAGTGAAGTTAATACAGAATATATTAATATTATTAGTAGCATCTTAATGATTTAAACGAACAAAAAAACTCTTAAAATTAAAATAAATATAAAATTAAAATAGGATTCTCTCTCTAATATAGAGTATAAGAGTCTAGCGCAACAAATGTAGTTATTCTTAATAAAATAATTAATTCATAAGAAAGTTGAATATTCTAGTTTTAAATGTTCAAATTTGAACACATATAACTGTGTTTGCACTAAACTCGTACTCCAATTTTTACTTAAAAGATTTACTTAATCTTTACTTAAAAATTTACTAATAAATAATTTTACAATTAGATTTACAATTAGATGAGATTGATCATAATAGAAAACAAGACGATTTTTACAATTAATCAAGAATTTTATTTTAATAAATACAGTTTTTTTTACATTTACAATAAAGAAACATCGATCGAAAAAGTTGTACATCGAATAAAGTGAATTTATCGATCAACATGTATACACTTAAAAAATTGAGGAATATAGCTGTTAAAAAAATTACAATTATATGTATATAAACTCTAGATCTTGCAAAAATGCATGTTACAAATACAAAGAAATTGTAGCCTCATATTATACTAAGGATACAAATAATGAAATTGACTATCCTATAACAAATAACATTTATAAGTTGATTCTTATTATGTACGTTTGTAATTAATTAAATAATTAAGTAGATGCAAAATTGCAAATTGTTATATACGTAATTCACAGTATATTTACGTATGTACATATATTAGACGTGTTTCGAACAAATCATTTTACGTTCAGACTTATGGTAAATTAAATATTTCTAATTGTAAGTATTATTGCTAAATTTATTAATATTGCACAATATTAAATCATATGTATGCATATAAATACGAAATTTTTCGTTGTTTATTTATTAGTTAAATTAAATTAAAAAACTTGATTGAAAAACTTGATCTTTCGATATATCAATCTGATATAGTTTGATGTTCACCGATACATAAAAAATCGAACTACTCGTCGGTTTATTGCAATGAGATTTATAGTAATCGGCCGGTAAATTACATTTACGTCAAAATAATTAACGATTACTGACATAACGCTATTCTGCGACGCTCTATAGCGGTAGTTAAAATTTTGTTACTGCTGATATATTATTGTTGACGAATAGTCGGATGGTCGCAGCTTTCGCTATTTGTGAGATGCAAATGTAATTTACTTATCTTCGAACAAGACACGGAATTACTTGGAGCTCCCATGGGAGTTAGAACTTGAGGTGTTGATGTACTGCGATGAGGCAGAATATCACAAGGATCGATACGCTCGGCGTAGTAAATGAGCCAGAATTCCACTTGCCGTACGACGACCTAGAAACAACAACATTGAAGAAATCGATAATTGTACTTTCAATTGAATTGCACAACATTATGTGAAATGCACGACGTTATTACCGGTATTTCCGGCAATCAAAAAATTCATAGAGCAACGCAATTTTGCGCCGCAAACTGCGTGCATCTGCCACGTATCTAATTACGTGCAAAATGCAATAATGCACGATGAGACCTGAGATTTGTATCTACATTTAAATGAAATACGTACTACACTTCAACACATCGCATAAATCTGAATTGCAAATTCTATATGAATCGTATTGCGATTGTGTTACGGTAGTCACAAGCAGAATAAATATTGCAAGCATTCTTAAAAGCATTAATATTTATTGGTATTACTCAAACAACAAATATATTGGCAACGACACGAAAAAATAAGCATAAAATGCGTTAAAAACATCGGTACAACTGAGACTATATGTTAAGACTCTATGCTAAATAACGTGATGCTTAAAAATTAAGTCTTAAAAATTTATATTTTGTTTCTAATAATTATATATTTTTTTGTAAATTCTTTTACTGCATTCTGAGAGAGAAAGAGAGAGAGAAAATATATTAGTAACTTTTGCGATTAATATAAATTGCGACCTTTATGATATTTATTACACGATTGTCCAGATATTACTTTTGAATAATCGTTATGGAAAACGGTGTTATTAACTTTCCAGACTTTATTAGTATTTTGCAGAGGAAGGTCATAAATTATTAAAGTATTATCACGGCGCCACTTTATTATAGTCCGAGAAAAATGCAGATTAATCGGCTTCTCTCTTAACTATACAAAAGTATATAATGCGCGTATCATTTAGATCTAAACGTGTATGATCGTGAAATAATTTATAGAGGCATTTTCATATTGCGCTTATAGCATAGTATATATTTTTAAAAAGGTATATATATTTTTAAAAACATATTTTTCTTATCAAAGCACAAAAAAGCGATTGGATAGAACAAGAGGGGATATATTGGGGAAATAACATAGAGGAACAAAACATTTGTTAATGTATCATCAACAATTTACGTACAAAACATAGACACACTATGAATCAATAGACAGAGAAAAAGTTACAACACATTTACATAGTGCACGTGTCGTTCCTACTATAATTCTACATTCATTTTTCAGTTTATTACAAACGACAAAATTCTTTTATAAATCATATAAAATGTATACAAGTCATTTCATAAAGAAAGAATCACATAGAAAGTAACGTTTAAACAATATTGAGTCAATTCTAAACAGGGCAAATTCCTAATCAAATCTACGGGTGGTATTGATCCTTTTTTGTTTCTCTTCCGTCGACCGTTGACATTTTCCTTCGAAGTACCTCAGATTTTTCTGTAATGTGTAGAACACAGTAAGGTGCGATTGTTTAACTTTATTTTTTTCATGAAAAGATATTAGGATTATTGTGTGTAACCGTGTACAAATAATATTAATATCATAATAATAATAATATAATAGAGATATTACTTACATAAAATATTATAAAATATATATTACAAACGTCATTAACGCCTGTACCTAGAGATTGAGATTAAGATTATATTGCAATTTAACCAATCAGAAGAAAGAAAATCAATATTAAATAAATAAACTTTGCTTTGGTAGGTCAAACATCAATCCAATTTCAATCTCAATCTCTCAGTCAGATATTAGAAAAGTTTTTACTGCACTAAATGCGTATATTTTTCGTTGTTATCTGTAGTAATATTTTTTTAAACATTTATTTACAAAACAAAGTTGAAACATATAAGAATTTAGCGACAAATAAGCAATAAGCAAATAAAATTAAAACATCTTAATGTTTTTGTCGGAAATCTGAAAATTATTGCATCATGAATGACAGATGCTACATGAGAATTAAGAGTTATAAGCTTTATATTATATGAAGAAAATACGTCAATATAAAAAATCATAACGGAAATTTAATAACACAAAGCGCAAATAAAAATAACAGAAACGTATTTGTGAAGCTGTAACCTACTCGATGCCAACGACACCGCAAGCCCAACGATCGCCAGAATTTCCGGTTGTCGAAGAAAGAGAATGATTGCCCTTGCCAAGATCGTCCTCGTCGGAATGTACAACTATGGACCGTCCCACGATGCTATTCGATCCTCTAAGCGAGATGATATTGTCAGTGATATTTATTATCGCTTCTCCGTCAGGATTGGCCATGATATTTCCTAGATCGCCGACATGTCTGACAGTGTCTTCCGGAGCGCCGTGAGTATTCTAACAAGTTAATAGCACGAAGTAGTTGAAGAAGTAGATTAATGAAAAACTATCATAAAGCAGAGAAGCTAAAAAGCAGAGAACTTTATCATAAAATAAGAACAAGAGATAGAATTTTATTAAAAATGAAAATTTTTTAAAAGGTTATACATTATAATAAAAAGAGAAAAGAAGTCTTGACCTTAAGTATAAAACATTTCCATAAATTGATATAAACATTCTATATCTAACGAAAAATAAATTAAAAATAATTTTATTGAAAAATAATATTTATTTTTATAACAATCTTAATATTTTGTTAGTCCTTCCCTTTTCTCACTGTATTTTTCAAGAAAATTCAATAAATTGAAAGTGCTTTATGCTTGTGGTCAAAACTGTAGTAACTAATTAATTCTGAATTAATTATTATCATAAAATAAGAACAAGAGATAGAATTTTAGCAATTATAATAGGAAAATTGTATAAAGGTAGGCTGCTGTAGGAGCTCACGTTCTCGGGATTGAAGTGCGCTCCCGCGGATTTGCAACCCTCACTCAAATCTCCCTTTTCGTGCACATGAAAACCGTGTAGCCCTCCTGTGAGTCCGGAGATCGTGCCAGTGATAGTAACAGGTCCATCCAAGGGAGTTTGAACAATCTTCAAGTTACCCGTGACATTTCTTGAGGAAAATGATGTTAGATGGACGACCGCCACCAATTCCTAATCGAATAGATTTGATACGATCAATATATTTACTAACAATAACAGCTTGTAGTTCTTTCGAAAAATAGCAAACAGTTTTACCCAATAAAAATAAAATTTCTTTTTTTTAAAAAGAGGAGTTAATTAGATATCATCTTTTAAAAACTTTCAATTTTTGAATTCAATTAACTTTTCCTTAGATCCTTGATTTTTAATATAATAATTTTACTTTTTTTATTTTTAATGTTACTTAAGTATTTTAAGAATTAAAAATTAAGTGAAAATACTACTGGAATAAGAGAACAAAAAAGTAAAATGATATTTTCTCCGATAAAATTAATTATAATATTCGAGATATTCTCAAAATGTTCTTCTTTAAATTAATAAAGAGATAATTCAAAGATGAAATTTTTTCTTTAAGAGCGCACTTATATATTTTTCGATTTGCTCGTTGCATTATAATCGCCATTTACGAATGTCGCATAATGATTGCTGTCTAATTTGGAACTATTTCATATTACCAATTATAATCAACGCTGATTACGATAATAATTCGCATACATTATAATGCATTGGAAACTTGTGATGATTTATTTATTATTACAGAAATGGATTAATATATGCAATATTTGGATTATTGTACATACCTCTTCCGCATGTGTAGCTGTAACAGCAATTACAGCTGCCACTAGTAACGCAACCATTCGGTTCATCATGCGTATTGGGTTTTGAGCTGTAATTAATAAAAGAATAACAAAAAACTGACGATATATCAAAGCTATATAGCATATACGTGTAATATTTTCTTGCTGCGTGTATCTATTTTTTCTGAAATTGTCGCTATTTTTAAAAGAACAATTACTAGATGCAATTATTGCAATAATAATTTGTAAGTTCTTAGCAAGGAAATAGGAAAATATTTCCTTATTTCTCAGTATAAAGTAGCATAAGATATATAAAGAAATATACATTTTAAAAAGTACGTTACAATATTTCATGTAACTTTTTTACGAGATGCATATTTTCTTATAACAAAATTTTAATAAAAAATGCAGTATTTTTCGTTGTGGCAAACATATGATTTTACGTTCGTAAAAGAAGAAAGTAGATACTTAAACACACAGTATGAAAAATAATTGTATATATATTCAGGTAACTAAATAATTAATTATGAACTATCCATTAAAGAAATATTGGTAATTTTCGATCAAGGTTTATTTGCGTGCCTCACGTACACAAGTATAATTTAATCGATCTAAAAGCCGCGCTGATCAAATGAACCGATTAATGTTAACCAACAGTAGCCTTGCATGTAAAGGACTAATCGATAATCCGGGCTACGCAGTCCTTGAAGTGCAACCGTCGCTTGATTTAAGAAAGCGGGCCTTTTATATAATTTCTACGAAAGGTGATATGCGTCGATGAGTGCATCGACTATAAGGTGAAGGTGAAGCCACTTTATATTACTGACTGTGAGACACATTGCAAACAGTCAATCACATCAAATTAGCGAGCGATTTATTTTCCCCTATTACACGTAAGACATATACATATGTACAATCTATTTTTTAATATTAGTTTAGCTGTTAGATGACCTTCGTGATATGCACGAACTACGTTCTAACAGCATACATGAGTTTTTTGCCCGCGATTAATTAACAAAATTATATAATTTTATTTCCGAACAGCAGCTACGAATCGCATGTCGATGTCGAGCTAAATGTAGAGTCATTATAAATACCATAAATTTTTATACAGATATTAATAACTTTGTGTAGTTTTATGTAAAATGTTCAGAATTTGACGTAATGTATCATTAAATATTCAGAATAATTATTAATCAATACAGAATTTATTTTTATGTGACTTGTGTGTAAGCAGCTTTCGCAAAATACAAGGTTCACAAAATTAATGTAAATTTATGTAAAGCTGTATAAAGGTGACATTATCGCGTCGGATAACGCAGAGTTATCGAATATTCTAGGTTCTTATCTACTATACTTAATTTCAATGTAACTTTCCTTTTTGCTACTACATCATTACCTCATTGACAGAGAACATTTATATTATTGTCTCCTATCAATGTCCCTATTCATTTCACTAATGATCCTATATTGCTTTCATGAAATATCTATATATAGAGGGTATCCCCCCTGCAACTACTGCATTACCTTTAAGAACACGTTCTTGTGATAATTTTAAGTCGAAAAGCCTAATACGAAAATGTTGAGGCTATATTTTTTTTAATTAGTAGCGACTAAAATTCTCTCTCTCTCTCTCGAATCACAAAACCAAAAATTGTTTCAGGAACACGTTCTTAAAAAGTAGTGCGATAACTGGATCCTGTATACATTTAAAAAAATGCTAAATTTTCATTCTTTTCAATATTTTTTAGTAAATATTTATTAAGATTAACGTATATTTATTTGGTATAAGAATCACTAATTTAATTTAACTATCCATTTTTTTTATTGAGCAAATATTTATTCACGGTAAATAAATTTACTAAGTCTTAATATATATTTCTTTAATCAGTACCGTAAATAAATGTTTACTTACAGTACTATTTAAAGAAATATATATTCAGATTTAGTAAATTTTTTCAGTGTATATATTATTTTATGAATCAATATGGAAAGTTATAATAAGAAAAAAATAATAATTTTTCCTTACATCAATCACTTTGTAAGAAAAATATAACTTTCTTTGTTAATACATAAAATTCCTGACGTTTCAAGTTGTTATCAGTTTGCACATTTCTTCTCACGCAGTCTTTATGAAATATGAGCGCAAGTTTATTCGAGATTTTCTTGTCAATTTCGATATGATTGGCGTCAGTAAGAACACTTTTAAAATACAAGCATTCTAGGTATTTTACCAATTTTATCATACTTCACCTTTCTCGTTACTTTATCTTCGCCTTTCTTTGCTTCGATAAGTATATCTTTACATTGAAAAGGTTCTCGTCAATATCATTAGTATAAGACGCTGGTACTTCGATTCTCGAGAATATTTTATAAAATAGAATAGATTTTTCTATCAATTTCGAGATGTATTATTTTCTTAATTGTTATCGTTTTGAAACCATCGTTTCAAAACCATCGCAACAATTATTATGAGCAATTTATTATTTATAGCTTTACTATAATTATATACACTGTTTTTATCTTTTATCATACGACATTGAAAATGACTCAAAAGGATTGAAACGTATCATATTTTATATTGTTATAACATTTCCTTTATTTAGTATAACTTTTTTGTAATTTAATATTTCCTACTTAATTAATATCTATTAAAATTTAACTTGGTTCAGCTTATATAAATTCTATTTTAATTCAAATTAATCCTAATTTAAGTAGATATTTATTAAGTCTTTGTTTCTGTATTATTTTAAACTTGATTTATCTTTTATTAACATTTGTATTTTATTACTAGAAAAACGATTATTTCAATTCGCTGGCGTTCTCTTTGTGGAATGTGTACATGTGAACGTCGCACTGGATGGAAAATTCACGGTCCAAGGAGCTCAACGCTCAGTCCAGTGCAAGTGCGAGTCAATTTAACAGTACGTGTGGTCGCAGAATTTTTCCGTGACCGGATATCCCTAGAAATGGATAAAAGCACCGTGAACTCGGGAAATGCGGCGGCAAGAGCTTCCGAGAAAATATCGATTCATGATGAAAGGTGTTCGTCCACAACACCTGCGCGACTTCATCGATCAGCGTTTTAACATAAGCACCGCGCGAATTGATGACGCGTTTTACGGACACCAAACAGGTCTGGTGTATGTATATTGGGTATGTACACGATGAGAGAGAGAGAGAAAGAGAGAGACGATGTATTTCCATTTCTAGCGTGAGACCGGCTTTACACGTCATGTACACTCCGACGTGTCCATCGGCCGCTTTTATTATTGTGTTAGATTAATCAGGACTTATAGCGAACGCCTTGTTACATTCCTACATTTCCCAGAATTGAACGTTCTAAGTTGAAAAGTCTTTACAGCGTAATTTCAAGACAGGATTTAAACAATGTACACAATCTGAATAGAGATTTAAGCGCATCAAATTTAAGAAATTCAAAAGACTTGAAAATGAAATATTAGCTCACCGACTTGAAATAAAATTTCCTTCTAGAAATTTGAAAATATTGATTTATTTTGATAAATTATAATTTTTGTAATATATTAATAAAGAATTTATAATATTAATAAAATTATTAAAGAGATAAAGGAAAGGTTTAAGCAAATTTAAAAAATATAAGACTTGAAAAGAAAATATTAACTCACGACTTGAAAAAATTCGAAATAAAATTTGCTTCTGTGAATTCGAAAGTAATAGTTCACTCTTATACATCGTAGTTTCTGTAATATGTTCTAATTTCATATGAATACATATTTTATCATTTTTACATTATTAATAAAGAAGTACTAAAGAGATAATTAAGAAGTTTTAAACTTCAAATTTAAACAGTACAGAATATTTGAAAGTAAAACATTAATCCACTCGAAAAAATTCGAAACAAAATTTGCTTTGAAGAATTCAAAAATTATGGTTCTTATACATTATAATTTTTATAATATATTATGATTTTATATAATTACATATTTCTTAATTTTTGTATTTGATATTAATACAGAAGCGATAAAGGAACAGAAAGTTTACGGATTTGCAATATATGAGTATATTCTTCTATTTTCTCTTGTTTTTTTCCATGATTCATCGCAAAATTTACATTAATTAAAAATGTTACAACTAATTAAGAGCTTGTGAAAGTTTAATTTGAGCTATTACCTTACTCAATCATTAAACCCCAATAAACCGCGCAATTGACCACGTAATTATTGAATTTAACATGAACATATCTACATAGCATTACAGGTTATGGATTAACGTGTTATGCTCGCGGACTATTTCTGTCAGATATGCGATGACTTTGCACTGTAGTTTTACACTATAGTTCTGCATTTCAGATAACAATGCACTATATTTAGTATCCTCGATTCCCTACAGTAAGTACAAATATGTACAATTATTATAATTTCCGAAAAAATTCTCCACCAATATGGAGATTATTTGAATCGCCCATATTTTATCTATCAAATGTGCCATATGTACAATAAAAATATTAATTCGCGTTACCGACACTGCGGTAATAACTACAACCCGAGTTCTATTTTAACAATTTAACTGATCGCTCATTACTTCAAGTTTTGGAATTTTTAATTAAAAACAAAACAAAAAATAAATATCAAATCGAGCTCCGAACGATTTAGCTCATGTACTGGCATGGAATTTCGGAAACTCGCGAGGTCGCAAGATAAACCCGAGAAAGAGATAAGACAAAGAAACTGATAAAATTTCGAATTATTGCAACCAAAAGGTTCTTAGTGGCAATTCGTCTCACGTTCGCGTAATAAATCGGATTACGCAACGGTACGTACATCGCGGGCGCGAAGTTTCGAGGTGTGATAAGACGCAGCGGCCGACAGAGAAGCAAGCACACGAAAAGTGAAAGGAACCTACCGGGCGGGCGGGCACTATTTTACTGGGCACTGAATGACCGAATGACTGAATGACTGACTGGCTGACTGCGGATGCTGGGCCCATGTTCCGCTTATATCGGCATAGTATCCCCCACCCGTAGAGCAGACAAATCAGTCACGAACGAGTATCTCGTAAATGATCATGCACCGACGACACCGGCGACCGGATGACCATCGAAGACAAC